GACGTGTGCTCTTCCGATCTCCCCAAAACCCCAAAACCCCATATAAAAATTTTCAAAATCAATTCAAGGAGTTAAAATATTATTGGAACAAAAGCTCAAATTTCTTTTAATTTTATAATAGCAGTGTTAGTAATAGGATCCCAATAAGCATTTTTAGAACCTTTCTTAAGCCAAGATTAAACTCTTTCTCTTCTCCTAAATTATTGATTTGTGTCTCTGTAAATCTAATCCTTAATCTAGTCATTATCATTCTGTTCTTACTCTTTAAGATCTTAATACCATTACTTCTACTAGATTAATAATTCTAATGAGTCATTCTATTTTTCTATTCCACTTGGAGTATCCAAAAGATTTGGATCTGGAGAGGAATCATTAAAATTCGTAGTCTTTAACTTTATTCGCTTAATTATCTTGTTTCTTATTTACTCAGTTTAAATTTGCTTCTCAGTTAAACGTTTGATCTTCAGTTCTAGTAAGGCACTTTAGGCTTATCCTTCTATAGGTTAATTGATTAACTGTCTTAGTTTCTTTTTGTGGATTTCATCTATATTTTAGTACTGATCAAAGTAATATGTTGAAATTTTAGATTTAAATGGAAGCTTCTTTCTCTGTTTAATGTTTACCTACCTTAAAATTGAATCATTTCAAGCCAGCACCTTTTGCGTATAATTTAGATTTATCTATTCCATCGTATTTGAGTTATTTAAAGGGTCTTCATACTAGTATATTTTACCCTGTCTTAATTAAGATAAAGATTTCCTGATATCTGAATTATTCTAGTTACATATTACTGGCAGTTTAACTTCTTGATGATTAGTTGATAGTAACAACACGGAACGCTCCATTTCATCTTCTAAATTTTCTGAAAGTATTTAATTGCTGTTAGATTATTCGTCAATAATATTTAGCTCTTATATTTTAGAAACAGTGTCTAGGGAACTCACTGAGTTCATGAGCTTTTAAGTCTTGTTTCAAGAGAGCTTAATTCTAGGTTTTCTTACTTTAATTTCTATTATATCATCTATAATCAATTGATTTTTGGGGTTAATTTCACTTTAGAAAGCTATTCTATCTTCATAAGGATTTGTGTAGGTTGTGTAAAGATCAATTTTTCCTATTTTATCAGATGTGTCCGTATATTTTTTATTCAAGATCCCCAAACTGTATCTTTTATTAATTAGAGGTTAATTATTTTTGAATTAATCATTTTTTCCATTGTTGTATTCGCTCTACATTTTATGATTAAACCTATCAATATTTTCATTCCTTGAAAAAGCTGCTTATTGTTAATTCTCATAGCTTGTATTTAATTTATCAACAACAAAGCTTTTAGAAATACTATTTGGATATATTTGTCTGCTTTTACTTTTCTACCCAAAATCTTATGATTTATTTAGAAGTGCTGTTAAACTAGAAACTCTATGTTCCTCTAATTTTTCTTGCCTGATTTCATCTAAGATTTACTAACCCTTTTAAGTTACATAAAACTTCATTATTAAACTTTTAGGATAGATAATAATAATTGGTTCAATTTATTTAATCAAAATATATAGAAAACAGCATTATGGGGTTTTGGGGTTTTGGGGTTTTGGGGTTTTGGGG